TGTAGTCTTGTGGTGCTGAATCAGGCATTATTGGTCGTAGTCCACCCATAATATCGCATACCAAACTTCTATCAAACTGCCTATCTCTAAAAGGTGGTTCACCTGTGGCAATCAAATACGTAACAATGCCAAAGGAATATATGTCTGATTTATGAGTAAATTTGCGAGTATGGAAGACTTCCGGTGCAGTAAAGGGCAAAACGCCTTGAATGGCTGAATTTGATTCACGTGAATTCACTGATCGTGAGAGACCGAGATCACATATAAACGATTTGCTTAATTGAAAATCTTTTTCTGTTTCATCATCACCACCGTCACCGTATATATAATGCAAAACTATGTTTCCGCCATGAAGATCACAGTGCACAAATCCTGTATTATGGATGGTCCACAGATAATTTGCAATACTCTGCAAATATATTAATTTCATCCCCCACGTCAGCTTGTTTATGTTTCGATCCAAATAAGACAATAGATTCCCATTATTAGCATATTGCATAACAATTATGTACTCTTTTGTTGCTGGATATTGTGTGAATCCATAAATTTGAAGGAATGAATAACCAATGTTTACACACTTGGCATGGTTTCTGAACTAATCGATGCAGAGTAAGAGTCAGATTAAATACCATTTTGATCAATACTATCAAAGATTGCTTACCTCGGAAATAAATAATTCCAGCGTTTTATCATAATCAACATTTTTAAAACGCTTGAGTACAACAGTTGGTGGCACATCATGCGAATACTTTTTGTACTTGGCAGTATATACTGTTCCGTAACCACCAGATCCAATCTCCTTAATTTCATCAAAGTCGGCATACTGCATATACTCTACACGTTCATTAAATCGTATAAATTTTTCCAATATCGCATGTACTTCGTGGTAGAACACCAAACAATATTTTCGCATCGATGGCTCCCGAGTGATTCCAACTATCCATATATTATCCGGTGTCAGCATCTTCGGGTAATCTGCAGTTAACTATTTGAGTAAACACACAATTCGTTATCGTAAATACGCAAAACTAACAACACTACTGCATTGTTTGCACGTGAAATGATTTACCTACCTGATAAAAATCTAACGACTGCGCATCAACTATCGGCTTGAATATCACTTTCGTCGATTGCCAATCTGCTATATGTGTGCATCCGTGGTGTAATGATGGCATTTCTCGTACGTTCATCAATAGAGAATACTCTATCCAATGTAAACACGCATCAAATTCACGCTTTGTATTACTCCATGATTCCATTATGAACGAATCCAAAGACTTGTTGCCAGTCGTCCAATCAAGTGGTGTTGGTGCTTTACACCAATAACAGAATGTATTCATCTTGGGTTCTAATTGACGTGTACACGCCAGACACAATTCATTCTTCGATTTTATTAGAAAATACTCCCGTTTCCTTGCATCGTATGTAAATCCGATGGTAGTCCAAACATTTTTGGTAAGAATATCTGGATGCCCATAACATAACTAGCGAGTGAAATGATACGTTATTAATCATCCAAACAATTCAATAAACATGATGCATAATTAATCGTTGAATAGCTTACCTTATCATAACATGAATTATCAGTTATTTCAAGTGGAATCAAATTAACCGCACCGTAAATAGGTAGACCATTTAACCATGCATAATTTCCCCCATCATTGCAATCGAATGGAATCCATTCCAAATAGGGTTTATTTGGTGAGTTTGTTTGTATTTGAGATTTCTTAATAAAGTCATCGAGTTTCTTAGTGTTGCTGGTCCATCCATTGGATAATTCTTTATGTCCACATATGCACCACACAGGACTACATCGGAGTATGCCACATGCGGTGCAGAATCCATATCGAGAGTAAGACTGGTAAAGGCGTTTCTTAGCGACCATATAGAAATTATCATTATACTTGGTGAATCCAATTATGAGTTCATTGCGATAGCCAAGCCATCTTTTGTATCTTCTGAATTGTGGAGCATCGAGCTTGTGCTTGTGTGTCGGAAGTGAATATATTCTAGCAAACTCATTGACAAACGCTGGTGTACATGCTTTATCGCTCCCAAGTAATACCAACATTATCATTGTTTTTTTAACTCTACTAGAACCATTATTATTATTACGAGATATTTCCTTTCGAACAGCGTAATGGATGTTGTCAGTTTGACTTGACTTGAAGTCGATAATCTCTGAATGAGGAATCCATTTAAGTTGATATTCACTTGCTAAGGAGGATTGAATGAAGTTGTCGATCGTCGTGTAAGTCTCTAAAGCTAATGACATCGTTCTGAAGGAAAAAGATATGAAAAAGATATGCTTATGCTTAAGCTTACGGATAAAGGTCGTTTATATAGTATTTGTTTACATCCCGCAGTATTGTTACACTTGCAAAAAAGTCTCCCAAATGACCAATCTCGCTTACATCTGTTAAATTTGTTGCCTAAAAAAGGTATGTATTGATTTTCTTGTGTAAACGCACATTCTCACTTAATGTGTTTCCCACGGGCCGCAACTTGGAATGTCTTGTCTATTTGCTAACATACGAGCCTGACTTTGAAGTCGTAGTTGATTGTGCATATACTATTAGTACACGTAGTTGTTAAGACTTATAACAGAGAAGCTTAAGCATCGCCATTATGTTTAAACAAATAATCTCGATCATCATCTAAAAATTTTTGAATCGATTCCTGCAACACACTGTAACTGTAACACAGAACATGTTCTTCCGATACAGGTATCGCTAAATCTTCCGCTTTAGATATCATTCCTAGCATGCGCCCGGCTCATCATCTTTCGAATTGTTTTACTATTAATTTTCTTTTTCGTCTATGAGACATCTGTACACGATTGATATCATTGTCTCCGATGTTTCCATGACCAACTGTGGGAGAATACCACGTAAGAAAAGTGCGAACTCCGGGATCGATGGCTGCAACGTGAATTTCTTCCGCTTGGTTCTCGTGGATAGACTTTCCGTAACCCATACAAATGCCCAATATCCTAGTTTCCTCTCGTATATTAGCTTCGAGTCCATTTTAACTTTGCCAGTCTCATTCGGCCAACCATGATTGCGTCTTCGATGTTCATGATGAAATGGTAGCTTCATTTTGTGGCGTGGATGATTAGGATCAACGGCAAGAAGCGTGTTATTATGTAGGAGCCTGATATAAAAACGGAGTGGTTCGCGACAGTATTAGTATTGAGCACGGATGGTAATCGTCTGACGATCATTTTTCTAAGATCTAAAATGAAGAACATGATGTTGATTCTCCTTATACACTTGATAACCTCATCTCTTGCTTGTATAGCATCTGAGATAGCATGATCCAATACTTCATATGGAACCTTATCCATAAAAATCTATTCCTTTGTATGTTTAGTCTTTAGCCGAAGGAGCATCCTAAAGAAAAATTGCCTTGTAGTCCTATGACCCAAACGGTAATTGTCCACTACCATGTTGTAAACTAAAAATTCTCAAAAATACACTATATCGAGAGCTTTTGAAAATTTATTAGTAAATACACTATATCGGATAGCATTCATTATAGATGGTTTTGAACCTTTATTCACTATATCGCGATTTTAATTAGTCTCCACTATAAAGGAGGTACATTATAAAGAGAGCCACTGTGTACATTCGTATTTTCAGTGATCGTATCAAGTCTGCCTTCTTTATTCTTGGCTCGTCGTGTTGTTTGCACTTTCTTCTCGCGTTTTTTGTTTTTTGTCTTGTTTCCGTTCTCATCCGTACCTGAATAGATCAAGTCGATTAGAATTCATTTGCTTGATCACTTATTACAAAAATAAAGCTAAAGTTAAATATTTATATGAAATATTTACCTGGCAGAACGCTTTCCTTGTAATCGGCAAATGAAAACTGTATTGATATCCTGAGATAGTTCCCATTCGTCTGTTGGGTTATCTTCTGAGAGAACCACGATCTTTGTACCATTAAGCTTGAAAAGGTCAAAGGCGAACCGACACAGCCAGCCTGTCTCTGTGGGCAATAGCAACTTCTTTGACCAGTCCACGACTTGATCTGGATCTCTTGAAATTGATGCTGGAGCCGATGTCTGAAATAAGGCAGTGGTTTGGAAACTGCGAGAGGTGTTTCTGTCTTTCAAGATCTTCTTTCTGTTTTGAGCTTGAGACCGAGGAGGAAGAGGAGGAGGAGGGGTTAGCATTGAAGGGAGAGATTATGTTGGATTTTCAAATGAGCAAAATATTGCAATGGTTAAAAGAGTTTGGGGGGATATACTTTCTCGACAGAGGTCTACTGATAACTGTTGCTGATTATCGCGTATTGGTGGAGTTGCTTAAGCGACTGGTTGTCTTGCTTGCATACACGAACATTATCCAGGCGTCTCTTTGACACATTCGGTAAATACTTGATATGAAAAGCAGATTTGCTTTCAATAAAATAAAAGGATGTAATTCGAGTACACAGCTATTCAGACTTGCAATAGTATGACAATAGTCGTAAAGTCGGAGTATGCGCGAACAACCGTCTCACTTAACGTGTTATCTTGTATTAATCCTATCTTGTCATGGCCAGGTTATTTCCATATTCCTTACAACAATGGGCATAAAATCGTCTTTATTTCAAAATTGGCCATATTTGTTCATTAGCAACAAACGCAAGAGGCAATAGTTTGGGTTGGATAACGAATTGCAATCATAAAGACATCGGGAATTTACGTTAGCAAGACAGATTATAGATGAATATACAATACAAAGACTATGCATATTAATAATAGCAATTGGCTTCGTTCTAATTTGTAAACTACATGTCAATGATAGAGTGCAAGTGTAGAATATTGTGATCAAATACATATTAAAGGGATATTTGCCGAAAAGATCTCATCAAAAACTGCGGATAGATTGGTCGTGGAGACTATACACCTTAAATGATCTACTATTTGTAAATACGATGATGTGTGTGTAACTTCCTAAGATGGTTGATATATCTTTGACTCATGATCTACCCCCGCGGTTATTTCGATAAACCATGTCACAAAAAACATTCGAAAATCAACCAAAACTTGGCCGTCTTCCAATTCCTCCTCTGGAAGAAACGCTTGCCCGCTATTTACGCTCCATTGAACCCCTCTGTGCGCCTTCCGACCTATCTCGTACTACTTCTTACATTACTGACTTTCTAAAACCAAATGGACTTGGTCGTACACTCCAGCAGCGCCTGATAGATCTTGATAGATCATCCCCACACAACTGGCTTGACGATTCGATCTGGATAAAAAAAGCATATCACGAATGGAGAGAAAGTGTGGTTGTAAATAGTAACTGGTACCTGATGTTTGCCGATGATCCTAGTACGCCAAAAGAATGCTTAGGGATCATTGAGAAGGGAACTTTTGGAGAATGGCAAGTCAAGAGGGCTGCACATCTGATCGTGCAGATTTTAGATTATAAAGAATCGATTGATAGGTAAGACGTTAAAAAGATTGTATAAAAAGCTGAGAGGTTCCTGTGAGCTTATGACTAAACACGTAGCTATAATTATTTGATATGTTCGTCCAACTAATTTTCAATTAAATTTTTACACTCAGCGAACGTCTTCCGCCTGACGTAACTCGTCTTTATCCACTTTGCATGCATCAATATACACGATGCTTTGGTGTTACCCGCATTCCACAGCATAATTGCGATGCACTTGCTTATACTCCACACCCGGCGACTGCAAAGCATATCTTAATAATAGCCAGGGATCAGTTTTATGTTATTGATGTTTATGATGAAAAAGGACGTCGATTGGCTGCGGGTGATATTGCATTGTAAGTACAGGGAAGAGTATCAACTGGTGTACGTATAAAATAGTGACAACAATGGGAGAAGGATAATGAATTTCGATTTGCGTATACACATTCAGTCAATTACAGCAGATTATTGAAGACGTTAAGAAAACAGAATTGGATCCCCCCGTCAGTGTATTGACTGGTGACCATAGGGATGCCTGGACTGTGGTTCGTATTTAGTTATTGGTGACTTTTGGTGCTTTTATCTGGTATTGGATCTAACGTATTTATTTCCAACAGGCTCGAGAACACTTGTTGAGTATACCTCAAAACCGTGCCACCCTTATTGACATCGAAAATGCACTCTTTGCATTTAGCCTTGATGACTATACATCTGGCCTGAATCTTGATGATTGGAACAGGAATGCGTTTCATGGTCTAAATGGGCATAATAGATGGTTTGATAAGGCACTATCGTTCAGCATTGAAAATAACGGACGAGCTTCGCTCAATGGAGAGGTATTGAGAGTTTTTGTAGGGCGGATTATCAACGAGTTTTCGCATACCCGTTAATATATCGCGTTTATCATGGTTAATCTTTTCCCCCCCACAAAGCATTCACCATGTGATGCTTTAATTCCTTCTATCGTTGTAGATAACATTTTGAAAACACCAGTGCCTTCTAGTCTACAAAAGTCAGGTTTTGAAATTCCTCTACCGAGAAGAACACGATTTGTCACTGACGATCGGATATTGAAAGACATTGCAGCAGCGCAGGAAAGAGTGGATAAAATTATTGCAGATTCTGACGCCATATTATTGCATTTCAAAGAATATGGAGCACATTTTATGAAGAGCATTGGTATGATACGTACAACATAATAGTTAATGTTTAAATGACTTCACGAATGTTCTGGATTCTTATTAACGAGTTCCCACTTTGATTAATTTTGCATCATGAACCGACTTCACTCGCGCACTTTTTTATCTACAAGGCAAGGTGGCCCCTGATGCCTACATGCAAATGGTCCTCCAGTTGGCATATTACAAACTCCATGGCAAAGTGGTTCCTACGTACGAGACAGGTTCAACCAGGCAATTTCTACACGGACGAACCGAAACTATAAGAACTCTAAGCAACGAGAGTAAAGCTTGGGTCGAAGCAATGGAGAATAGTTCGCTGAGCGTAAGAGACATGACAAAGATTTTATCTCTCCTTACGTTTGGTATATCTATTATGTGATGTTTAACACAAGCTTTTTCTTTTTATATTATCTTTAGTCAAAGGAGAAATATGCCATATTTCAAACAGCAACTAAAGCACATTCGCAATACACGCGAGACGCATCAAACGGAAAGGGATGCGATAGACATCTTTTTGGATTAAGGTGTTGTTTAAAGGAAGGTGAATCACACCCATTGTTTACTGATCCGATATTTGCCGGGTCTCAAGTATGGTTGTTGAGTACTAGTGGATTGAGTGCTGGAGATCGATTTAGCGGTGAGCAGAACGTTTCGTATAGCCAGCTTAAGGGAGGGGAAGAGGAAGAGGAAACGACAGGTTGCTTGAATATTGTGTAATGATTTTTTTCATAGGTACCGGATTTGGTTGTGTATACCCCAATGGCTATGGCATAAACTACCTTCCAGGAAACGCGGTTCTAAAGTTTGGAATTGAGTCTAAGAAATCTTCAACAGAAACGGATTCAAAGGCATTCCGTGAATCTGTAGTAAATGCTCTGCGCGATATGAGACGGATGTGTGAAGATGTGAATGGAAAGTACAATGGTAGATTATGAGGAATGAGCGCGATAGTAGCATTGTGTATGAAAATATCGAATGACGTACACATGCATGGAACATGTTAGACTTTATTATTTATTTGATCCTGGGAGTGGTTTTATTTCGAGAGATGTTGGAGCATCTTTGTCTGCCGTGCGTTTATCATGTCCCAAGACGACTGAATGATATATAAGAGATAACGTGTATGAGTCATGTTTTTAAGAAACAGTCGTACCATCAATTAGATTAATATTTGATCTGCTGTTACCTCTCTTGTATAACACGACTGATGAAGCAATAAAGAATGGTATTGCAACTATTACCGTAGTTATTCTGTTCATAAAATATGAATGTTACGAACATAATCTATCTTAAACTGTTACCACATAAAGTTTGAATTGACCTTCTTTTGGCAAGATTGTATTTGAGTTGCTTCTGAGAATCCATTGCACGATAATTTTAGGAAAAGAACAGTTTAGCAAATGTGGACACGTGAACAAATCGAGTGCGATAATTTTTATGTCGTGCAACCAAATTCTGCAGTCGCACAAGATTTGATCACGACCTTTTTCGGAAATACGTTGGAGGACATTCTAATGAATAGAACTTGTGAGGCCCATTGCACGTTTGAATAGACTTTTCTATTAAATGTAAATACCCATGCTAGGGTTTAGGTATACATTCTGATCGATTGACATGACATTATTATAAGTTACTTTATATCAGTATTTTGTGACTAAACCAGTATCTTCCCAAATTTTAAACAGATGACAGTTACAAAAGTCATCAGGGTATTATCGGAGGTTTGTCAAATGTAAGGCATGAAAAGCAGGTATTTAGCCAGAAGAAGCCTCGTCGTATCTCCGAATAAGAAAGTCGAAGAGGGTGTGGTGTGGGTTCAAGAATGTGTCTATTGTAACAGTAAACAGCTAAGCGCGAGTTCTATTACGAACAAACCAGTTATTGTATTGAACAAAATGTCAAAAAAAGGACAATTGGCAATTAAAATATCAAAAACCATACATCGTTAATGGCATCGAAATAATACGGCTGCTACGCATCATCAAAGCCTAGCTCCGCCATCGATTCTGACTTGTGTCGCGTTCATATAGGAATTCTGGATCATATGAATTATCAAAGAGGCAACCTCTGTTCAATGAAATAATTCCATAATTAATATGTTAATAAAAGTAAATTCGAATTAATACAATAACTGTTTAGACATCTAACCTTTTGGTTTGCCCAGTCTTTTGGGAAATCCAATTTTCCGTATAATAAATTGTACCGCCTTTTCAGGTAACCGCGAGGCCATAGGAGTTTCTAAGAACAGCAAAGGTAAACAATTAGGTCTAATATGTTTGGGATAAAATTTGCAGACCAACATACCACATGCTCCAGGCGCTACAGAGAGAACACGTATGCCGAATCGTGCTAGATCTCTAGCCATAGGGAGTGTCATACCAGTAATACCACCTTTAGAAGCTGAATAAGCTGCCTGTCCCATCTCACCATCCTCCGACGCAATCGAGGACAAGTGGATAATAACGCCTCGTTCGCCTATTAACATGAGACTGTCCATTGTCAATTATCAGCAACAATATTGTAAAGAGATTCTTAAATATCTAATTCCTTCACCATCTTCGTCGGGCATTTGTCTAATCATCTCGGATGCGACTAGTCTCGACACATTGAACGTTCCAACCTGCCATCACCAGTGTTCCTTTTAATAAAGATATATATATATATATGTAATGTGATAGTTTCACCTCAAAATACAAACCAAATTAACATCAACAACAGATTTGAACGTCTCTAAATCGGCAGGCTTGCCATTAGATGCAACAGTCTAACGTCAAACATCGTCAGTTAACATTTGTTTAAAAACTTGGCATGACCATGGAATGTTAGTCACTCTCAATGCCTATATACGTACCATGTCTACAGAACCTATACCACCCGAATTAACTAATCCACCAATCGTATTTCCAAATTTATTCACCCCTGCCTTTATCGCTTCCTTAATGCCTTCCTGTAACATACATGTAATTTGTGCATAGTTAGTTATAACAAAGTTTGTATGGCAACATCGAATCTGATAAATCGCCATCAATACTACCTCAGAAGTTACATCTGCTATAACATAGAGAACCCTATTCGTATTCGTCAAAACTTTTAGATCCAAAGGCTTTTCCTTCAAATCGATGATCTAAATAAGAGCCCGAAAAGCATATACTTCGGTCAGGAGGGAAAGAGTCGCATTGATGCATCCAACGGCTTTATACTCACAACAACATTCGCTCCATGTTGGAGCAACTCTTCCACTACGGCAAGACCAAGTCCACTGGCCCTAGGATGAAAAGCAAAAGAACCCTTGTCAACCATTGTAAATCAGATTTACTTGCAATCTCCTGTAAGAACTTACCCACCCGTAACAAAGAAAGTTCTATCATTAATAAGCATATCCGGAAAATGAAAGAAATGTTGTGATCTTGTCATTTTTAAAATTTTTGGATTGTGTAACAAGCCGCTATTACGCAAGCCATAGTAATAGTGCCCAATCTGCAATAAAGTTCTAAATTATAAAAAAAAAAAAAATAGTGCCCAATCTAGCATTGCAAGGCAATCAGTTTTTTTATCTAACCTTGATAAGAAATCATAAACCGAACCCGGATATACCGAAAACCCCGTTAGTATTAGTATTAGTATTAGAATTAGTATTAGTATTAGACCAGATCGAACTTTTTTTTTTGAAATCCGCGCTTCAGCCTATGAAAATTACCCCGACAAACCGAAGTTACTATTAATATATTAATTAATATTAATATCCTCCATAATAATAAACCGTAAACCGGATTTTCTGTAATAGGAACAACCATATCAAATAAAATGAAGTACGTCAATCAATCTCTGACTTTAAGGTTAATTTCAAAAAGCAGTTATTTCACAAGCTGTAAGCGAATAAAGAGTAGTGTTTACGATATATATTATCTGGTCTGGCAGCTTGAACACTTACCCCGTTTATCCGAACGTATGGTTTCCCTGAATATACACTGTTTGACGATCTCTCATTAATGTCATCAAGTCAACTCCTTATTGCGTTGTGTTTTTAAGACAGGGGTTTACAATTTTTTTTTTCTTCACCCGCCGTTATTGGTACTCATGCGTTTTGGATAAAACAACGAGCGATCATCCAGTAATTTACGACTCTGCTTTATATTTAGCAAGACAGATGGAACGCCGAATCTAACACGTTACCGAAAACTTTGGTTACCCTGCAAAGATCAAGGGGATTTTGCGCATCCATATTGTGCTTCCCGGTGTTCAAGGCGGTATCCCGGCAAGCAAAGTGATTGAGGATGATACTTTCTTTGACGAAATGACGCCGAAAATGATCACATGTGTAGTCAAGTCATAGGAACAATTTTGCCGATGGTAACTTGTGCACAAATTTGTGGACTGATTGAATTACATTTTATTGTTATTATTATTATTATGACTGTCATTGATTAAGCCACTGATCGCGTCGTTATATTAGATCGCATCGTGCGCAAAAAATTTTGTTCACTTTCAAACATACCATGAGTACTAGAAAAGAACGCCTTGAAGAACTGAAGCAATAGTATTTGGTGATGCGCAAAGTCGTATTAAAAGTAATGCTTATTGGTAAAGTGACTGAATATCCAGGCTTGACTAGTCTGTGATACATTCTTTGGTGAAATTAGACTTATATTGTGTGCTTCAATCAGATTTATTTATGCCATAGATGTCGATGAAATTAATAATCCGCATGGCTTATATTTACGTGTATTTCTCAGCCCAAATCTGGCTAATTTATAGTACAAGTTTTTCTAATATACATCAATGCTTTTATTACTAGGCTAGGAAACGGAAACCATCATCAGTATTATTGTTCACGTGTTATAAGATCGATGGATGGATGGGAATATTACAGGGGTCAGTGATCAGACCGCATATTAATATCGCATAACAATAGAAAGTTCTTCGCTACGCTCCGGACAATTATGAAAAAGTACGGACAAAAGTGCTTGCATTTACAGTTTATTATTTATACTGATGTGTCGAATTGATAACGGGGCTTATAACGATGATTATATCTTCTTACAATGCTGCACGCGATACAAGCTTGTACAGAAGCAAAATAAAAGAAGCTATGAACTCTCATGTTAAAGCTCAAAAATCGGACATTGGAAAGGGGATACAGTTCTTCATCAAACCATGTAAAACTATAGATATTTGGGTAACAGACTTTCTAAGCTGCGTTGCGCTTATACCTGTTCAGCTGCGCTGTCACAGAATATAACACGCATTACTTTTAATACATCACCAGATATTACATACAGTACGTTAAATAAAGGCATTATAGATATTTTCTTTTGAACATCTGAAATGTCTTACGAAATGATACTAGTCTTGTTAGCATATACAATATGTCTTTGCTATTGTGATGAAATCGCTTATAACTAAAAAGCATGTACGAACGTCATGTACTTTTTTATCTTGATGCCACAGAGATTTTGGCCTTAAGCCTTTTTCTCGATAGCCACACATAACTTTGCGTTTAGGTTTCTGTAAACTAGATGAGTGCCGCTGTGTCTTAAATAAAATGCTAATGATGGATCCGGATTCTTACTGAAATGTCGGGTCAAAAGTATAATAATATCAAACTATTTAAATGTTTATACGAGGTTTTGTTGACTACTCTTCAATTGCATCAATATTTTCTGATTAACGGCCTCATTGGGTCTTCTGAGCATTGAATTTTCTTTTCTTGTTGACGAATTTGCCTCTATCTCGCTCCTCCAGCAAATAGGATGATTTCATGGGTACCGAAACCATTGGTTTTGTGTCGAGTTTTTAAAATTAAATTTCTTAACCTGAACTCACGATTTATTTTATACAATCAACCACCTCGCGTATATTTTTATAGATAGATCTAATCCATATTGAGCATATTGATATTTTAATTTCACAGGCGTTTATATCAAGTTAATGTTGGCTGTATTCTGGCATGATATAGATTTGTATATAAGCTACACCGGGTGTGAATGACGTCTGAGTCAAGTTAGTTAACCTTCAGCCACACCAGTCTCTTATTTATGTCACATAACAAAATATTCTACTTTAAATAAGCTACTTTTGAGAGGTAAAACCAATACAGTAGATGTCTATAATACAGAAAATAGAGACTTAAAGAGAGATCCGAAATTCCAAAAAAGAGATATAAAAAGATAAGAGCAAGAAATCAACCGGCTCGGAACAATTAATTATTTGCAAGACGAACGTGACGATAAAATAATAAAATGAGAATTTCTTGGACCGCCACAAAGAATCGCCTTTGTTCTATGTACGCCAGCATCTATTGTCATTCCTTAATAACTTCAGTGCCCAACGATTGATTGCATTCACAATAAAAACTCCTTCATTATATGTTTCTAATTATGTTTATATGAAAAAATAAACAATTTCCAATTTAGGCAACACCTCTTAATTGATGTGATGCCCCCTACTGAATGACTTCTATTTTTGGGTCCCCAAAATAGCTAATGGCGGCAACGCTATTAAATGTGGGATCGACCAAATCGAACTTTCTAAAACATTTCACACAGCCATTACTCTACGACAATTCACATTCTTCGAAGGCACCTTAAAGATGATCGGTCTCTCGTTTACAGGTTATCAGAGATGTTTCTGCGTATGTTTATTAAAATAGTTATTTCGCATTGAGCAAACTTTGTTCGAGATTAAAGATAGAGCCATAATTATCCGGAGAATTCGCATCATCGGAGATTAACGGAGAATAATTAGGCTGCATGATTTTTAGCTAAATAAGGTTCCTCATGACGTATTCGCTATGTAATGTCCAACTGATGACGTTACCTTCAGCTACATCAACGTGTGCAATATATAAACACCATCTTGCTCGTTTTCTTTTCAACACCAGCGAAATCATAAGTTTTGACAGGATGGCTTCCAAATTAGCAATCGTGCTTATCTTTATGCTTGCCTTCTGCTTATTCCTTCATGTCGACGCAATAATAATTGGCATCCTGAAAGTTACCGTCCGTGGGTATCAGTTGATATAATCGTAGTACGAAGATCTTTAACGTGAATCGAAAATATTAACTCAATTGGTAACTGCAAAAGACAGGGCAAGGCGTCTACCCAATTTAGATCGATTATCAGCAGGAGAAGGCAAGAAATAAATTTTAGATTGAATGGTCATTTCCTTGATTCTATTTTACTAATACATATTCTCGATTTCTTTACACGGACAGACAAAAGTAGGTTGACGTTTGTCTTACTATTATGTCAGCTGCTGAATTAGTTTATTTTCATCGAACTGACATTCTTTACCATTCTAAGGTGATCCATATGCCCTGGTATGGGTTGGCGGTTCAAAGGCGTTCCCTGTTACACAGCCCGCACAGACGACGAAAGTTGCAAGCAATACATTAAACCCAGTTTGGAATGAGGATTTATATTTCTGTATTACGAACCAAACTTCAGTCTATGTTGATGTTCTGGATAAAAACCATCCCCCTTCAACTCCTGATAATTTTGTGCGCATTTAACTTTTTTAATGCCCGTCACGCTATTGATTCATGCCATTGATTCATCCCATTGATTCATACCCTAACTTATCACTTTATATAGATCGGTCTCGCTGCTGTTCGCCGGATCAGGAAGTTGTCGCCAGCATGGTTTCCTTTGTACGGCACCAAACACGGACAAATCCGCCTCTCAATGGAATTCTTTCCTACCAAAGCTGCTGTTGGTGTAGCCTAATTGCACTGTAATAATAATCATAGTAATAATAGCTTATATATAATAATAAATAAATTCTTGACCCAAAACGAAAAACGTCATCGAGATATTCCTTACGTAATTTTAACTGCAAATATATTCGATTATTGCCTTATGCTTTTCCATAAACAGGCTGGCGATTAAAACAAGGCGCAATAAACTTTAGTCACGTGTACATCAGAAATAGATTGGTAAATGCCATTAGTATTAGTATTAGCCCCGTCGTGCGACCGTAACTAATCAATTTAAGGCATCCTAATCCCGGCTATTCCTACCGCTACAGTATTAGTTATGTCAACCCTTGGAATGATTGATTTTCCCTTATACTTGGTCAAATATCTCAAAAATTTGGCATACAGTCTCTTCGTCTAATTCATGCTGCATGATGACATCTCTTCCAAATTCCCTAATAAAATTACAAGAACAGACTTTTCTAGGTAATGATGCTCTCGTCTCTATCAAGTGCGCTCTTATCTCGGCTTTCAAATCAGGTCTCTCCAAAGACGCCCCAACGATGATTCCATCGTTTGTTTCTATCTTCCCTGATGGTACCGAAATTGGCGAATATCTTGCACTTGATCTCGGTGGAACTAATCTCAGAGTTGCTGTTGTTCGTCTACTGGGAAACGATCGATTTGATTCAGAGACAAAGGAGAGTTTTGTTATACCGGATGAGAAGAAAAAGGGAGATGCTTTATTTGATTGGATTGCTGAAATGGTGAAAGCAGTTCTGGATAAGAAAGGTATTGATTATAAAAAGCCTGTCATCGTTGGAGCTACATTCAGTTTTCCTGTTAAGTAAGTTCTAATATATGATATAGAGGATGGTATAAGCCCAAGCGATTAGAAGTTGTATGTTTGTGGTGGTGAACCTTGCGGCTAATTCGTTATTAATAGTCAAGTTGCTATCAATCGCGGAACCGTGGCAACTATGGGTAAAGGATTCGATCTTGATAGTGTTGAGGGTATGGACATTGTGGAACTGATGGAAAACGGTTTCAAAAGAAAGGTAATCATCGAATCAATAAGGAGGTATTGTTGATTTTGTCATCGGCCAATATATATCGATAACATGTCAAATCGCAATTTTGATAGAATCTTAACATGTGCATCTCAGCTATCGTCAACGATGCGGTATCAACTCTCATAGCTCAAATGTACAAAGAACCAACAACCACCATTGCATCAATAATATTGGGCACTGGCACTAACTCTGCTTGCATCGTTCCTATCGCTGAAATCAAAAGGCCATCTTTTTCCTTTCCACAGTCTTCTGCGTCTGACAGAATGGTCATTAACATGGAATGGAGTCTCATGGGAGCAGACTTTCTCTCTTTCACGGAATATGATAAGCAACTGGACAAAGGCATCAAACCTGGATTCCAACCGTTCGAGAAAATGGTCAGTGGATATTACTTGCATGAACTAGTGAGATTGGCTATCGTTGATTTTGTGAAGAAGAAGGAATTATTTGGAGGCGTTCTTCCTGGCGGGATGGAAAGAAAATATAGCTTTACTAGTGAGCTCATGAGCGACTTTGAGAGGTCAGGAATGAAATTTGTTAACTGAACGTAATTTGTATTAAGATTAAGGTACTCGGTTCACGGTTCATTTCCAAAATTGAAATCTATTTCTTCGCTTCCAGATTCTCCATAGACCGTCCTGACGAGCTGATATCAAAACTTTCCGAACGCTATCAACTTCCCGATGACATAAAATTGAGTGACCTTGAAGTAATTCAATCAATAGTCAAATGTTTCTCCAGGAGATCAGCTCAGCTCGTTGCTGCTGGCATTGCGGCTCTTGTTGAATTCGCGCATCCTGAAACCACAGAGACGGATGTCACGATTGGAATCGATGGATCGGTATATTCTCATTATCATGGTTATTCTGATATGTTGACGAACGAGATGGAGAATTTAGTGGGGACCAGAGTTAGAATTTCAGAAGTTAAGGATGGCGGATGTGTAGGAGCTACTATTGTTGCTATGCTATATGCTAAAAAGTCAAAGTAACTATTGAATAAATGAATATTTGTACCTTGTTTTAGGATAAGATCTGATGCATCAAATACGCCTACACGTAAGAAACATATGTCTGAATGTAGCAAAGATACAGTCAATCCCTTGATTATTGTCAAGCGCTTTAATGCATCAAACCCATTTTAAAACATGAAAGTTCAATTATCAATAGGAAGGCGTTTGGATTTCGAAGAACTTGACGGATTGATTCCTAAAAGACAAACGTCGAAAGTTCCAAGTAACCAAAACTAAAAGTAAACCGCCACCAATAACTCGGACTCGCCGTCTATTATGCGACGGTTTTTTCTTAGCAAACATTTGGACATTAATGCGGCAGTTACCCGACCGCTTTCATCCATTCTTACTAATGTAGTGTGGAATATGAAAAATTGAAGATAATAGGATACGGAACGGGGACGGGGACGGGAATGGGAAATGGGAGATGGGAAATAGGAGATGGGAAATAGGAGATGGGAAATGGGAAAAGCGTAATTTGAGAAACAAATTATTTTCGAGTAGTAATAAGAGGCTATAAATTATAATTTTATAAATACGTGAAACAATTTTTGTATTTTACGTGCGATTGTATTTTTTTTTTTGACGCAACAAGACGGAAATCGCGCACAGAAGGCAGCCATCGCGTCTTGAATACCAGACGCGATTTTGGCTGTTGATTGTAATGTATATAAAAATGTTGTTTCTTTCGAATCCTATTTCTCTGGAATCTTTTTATTAACATTCTAAAAACTCTTCACTCGTTTGAATAATATAAAAATTAATAAAAACCGATTCCTATTAACTGCTAATAATGTGTTCTAGAATGATCGGCAGGCTATATTTGGGCCGTTTACTAAAATAGAGAAAAAGTTGTGTCGTTTTAATTACAAGTCGACATCATGCCTCCAAAACGAAAGTCTGCTGCTAAGTGCTCTGCACAAACTAGACAATCGAAGCGGAAGAATACAGTGAACTCATTCCAGCTGTTGGAAGACCATGATCTGGTCAGTGACAGGTTTGGCTTTGATATTGGAGACCAATGACTCATTTATTTTTTTTCGTATTTACCACTAGACTGACATCACACCTGAGCATGTCAACCATGTTTTTTTACTTGACTCATCTGTGGTGCCAGAAGGTGGCCCTACATGGATTGAGTTTGATATGCTGAAGGAGGAAAACTACCACAATCTGGATGCATCCAAACGGGATAACTATCTACTACCCTTCCTCATCCGAAAATGTGCTGTCAAATTACTAAAATCCATGCAGGCGTTAAAGGAACAATTTGATGAGAAAGGAGTGTTTATTAATGTTGGCAGAATACTCAGTAAGTTGTTGCTGTATTCTGCCTCCGTGTCTCTGCTTTCAAACAGTGCTAATATCTTCATTTTCTGCTGTATGGCTAGCTGGCACTGCTGGTGCGGGAAAATCATACGTTCTGTACCATGTTGTCCAGTTTTGCCGGGCCTCAGGATGGCTTGTTCTTTATGTTCCAAGGTGTAAGTCATGTGAGAGTTTTGTGTGTCTTAGTCACTGCAGTCATTCTGTATTTTCTTTTAGTGGGAACACTTGCAAGAGAGGATAATGAAGAAGCAGCCAAGTTGATTTTGGAAGCTTTTTTGGAAGGTAATGAAAGGCAACTTAAGGACATGAAGTATCATGAGAAGTCCCTCTATGATTTCATTACAGAGGGTTTCAATGATGAGAAGTATCTAGCAACTTTTAAGAAGATCATAACTATTCTCACTGGAAAGCTCACGTGAGTCCATCTTTCCCATTTATATTTACTTCTCTGATGAGTTGTCTCAGTAAATGATTCATTTGGTTTTCTTTCTATTTTGTAGAATCCCTGTTCTCATTGCTATTGATGAGTGGAACTCTCGGTTCACTGGAGATAGTTTATGCTGGGAAGTGCTCAATACTTTTAATGATAAGATGCTGGTTAGGATTGCATATATTAATATGTATTCTGCACCATTGATTGATGGGCCTCACTGATTATAATTTGTATCTATATCAATAGATGTCAGGATTTTGGCTCTATTCTATCTCTACGGCATTTGATCCTGTCCAAAGTCTCAGAAATGCTGATGCAACAACAATTACCATTGACATTCCACCCTACAGTGAGGAAGAATTTGATGCAATCTTAGAATGCCAGCAATACTTTAGGCGACTCCCTGCAGGTATTGGCATACTCTGGGAATTATCTTCACTTCCTCAGTACTGTATTTAATTTTCTTCTCTATTTTCAAAGTCATCAACAAGGATCAGATCCGATACCACTCTGCCCTTATTCCACAAATGATTTTATATTGGTGTTTGGATTGGAGTCCCAACTTGGGAAAACTATTTGAAGATGTCCTGAGGTCCTTTTCCAATCATGCTGTCAAGTATTATAAAGGGAGAATCCAGAAGACCTTGGATCGAGCTAAGCATTTGACTACTAATGAAGAATTGATAACACATCAGACTTTGGCCTTCTTCTACATAAATGTTGCAGTGAAAAGTCTTCCTGCTTTGTGGGAGATTTCTGGCCTATTTGTTGAGGAGAAATCAGAGGCAGATGGTGGTGAATATGTTTACAAATGTGTCTGTCCTCCCATTCATGAGGCTATTATCAAATATTTTTGTTGGGGTGATAGTAATGTTCAATCAACTATTGGTGTTCTGGTAGGTCATCTTATTGTTTCCTCCATCTTCTATAATCTAATGAACTTATCAATCAGGTTGCAGATTCATCAACCAACTGGTGGACTCTTGAGCTACTGGTTGCTTGTTACTTTCGCAAAGGAACCCCAACTACTATCAGCTTGATAAACAAGGATCTAATGGGAAAGAAGCAACAACAAGAGAAATTGCATATCACCATTTCTATTGACTTTGAACAGACAGTGCCACTTATCAATACACCCATATTACCAGGGACCTTTTTAATTTTACGTCAAGGACATCCTGTCTGTGACTTCATTGCTTACTCTTCAGAAAACCATGGTGAACTCTTTTTTATCCAGGTTTCCAAATCATCATATATGGCACACAACTCTAAGGTCACTGATTTAGGGGACACAATTCGAGGGAACAAATCGATTTTGGAGCACTATATGGATCTTTGCCTAATGGAGGATGGGGAGAAGAGGTTTCCAAAAGTCAAAAATCAGGACATTAAGAACCTCAACAAGAAACTTCCTACTGGCGTCTATTATGTGTACATTACAACATCAGATTCAGTACTCAGATCAAGAAACAATTTGAAGAATCATCCAGTCATTCTTGTGCAAGGTGATGATGTTAGGAGTGTTGTGGGTGTCACTTGGGATTTGTACAAAAATAAAATTTAAAGCTTAGTCCTGAAGCAACTGTAAATAGTGAATTTAATAGTCCATTTGTTTTGACTACATGGACTTCAATCATGAGATGATTGATTGTCTCCACATGTACAGAATGTAAGTGTTATACTGCATTGTTTATTGTTACAGCCAGATGGTCTGGGTTTTGGGGAGTGATTATCTTTCACGCAGGAGTGTTCTTCCGACCGGGGGATGTTACCAGATTTAGCTTCGTATTAGTATCACTGTTCTTATTCCGGTGATTGTTCAATTTCAAATGAACATAATTTGAGTCAAGAATTTTAATTTTTTTTTTTCATATTTATTGCAATGCCTAAGAAGCAAAAAAACCTTGCATCCTCAATTATATAAACACCCACAACGTATGCGGGTTTGATTGATACAAATGATGATAATAATGTTGGATGGTGTCCAGAATGGCTTCAATAAATCGTTTAGTAAAATTTGCGACTGATTCTTGGCTAACGCCCAACATTCGTTCTAGTTGGCGATATCCCAGAGGATTTGCTAATCGTTGAATCACAATGGCAACTTAATTTAAATAGGAGTTTGAGGTCGAAAGGGGTAGATAAATAGTTAAGATGTTGCTGTAGGATACTAAGCAGTCGATTGAATATGTCTGTCCAATAAGCCATTGTTTTTGGCCAAAGTAAACGAGATGTACGATTAATCCTTGACATCGAATCAAACAGAAATGCTAATTCTATCTCAATTAATCCTGTATTATTTCTGTTACTATGAAGCAATAAGTCTTTTCCGGCTGATAGATAACATCATCACTAACAGTATAACAGTCTCACACGGAAGGGCGTTATTATGCGCGTATGTTCACATTTCACTCTCGCTTTATCCATATACATATTCTCTCATTTTTAAAAATAATTACTGTAATAGACAAGTTGGAGCCCGCCAAGCCAAAAGAACATCCAAGTCTAGTTCGGCCGCAATGCTTCCCGCTAGTTTGGCTACTTCTAGAACGTTAATCACAAATAGAACTCTTCAAAATTATAGTTGGGATTATTGATCGCGTTTCGCTCAATATAATATTTTTGATACATTAGTCGCATTCGGCATATACAGTAGATGCATTTACGGATGCATTATTTATCTACTGTGCATATGGTATAATAAGATAGTTTTTTTTCCTATTATCTGTGAAATCCCAAAGTAAGCCTTAATAATGCTGCGAGGTCTATAACAATAATATTATGAATCAATGTCGTCAAAAAAAATCTAGTAGGCATCACGTAATGAGGTCGCCACAAGGATTCTAGTTTTAATGTATTAGTATCGTGAGATGTGCCCACGAGATTTAATAAAAGCTACTTATACTGTACAAACTTGAACAATCTATCAGAATCTCGTCAAGATAATAATCTAAATCGCAATTTGTACGACGAGATTTGATTGTAAATGGATCACATGGTTATCACAAGTGGTAACCAGTTGACAAAACTTTTGCCATTTTTATTACTTAATTGATCTTTGAAACTGAAAACACCTCCAAGCTTACCCATTTATCGGGTCCTTGAAATTTGTTCATTGACTCAAAACCATTAAATACAAAATCCCCTTCACCAAAAGAAGGAAAATCACTTCTGCTATCATAAATACTATGTGTATAATCAGAAATAAATCTTACCTTGCAAATATCTGCGTTTAATAAAATGATGAAACTTTCTGAAGTTGAGATCCATTTATTACTGAATGACCATGAAATTGGGTTGTATCCTCCAAGTATATGGTTAGTATTCAGCATCTTTCCAATGACTATTGTTGGTCCTTTATTTTTGCACTTTAGTTGAAAATCTGTTATAGTACTCTTATCCCTACTGTTAAATCTATAAAGTAAGGTCAATTTATAAGAAAGACAGTGTATGCTGAATGCTGTTTGAGTTTTTGTGTCTTGTTTAGATTCCACAATCCTCTGTAGTATCCATGCTGCTTGGTCTTTGTTAATAATTACTGAGTCAATATTAGGTAGTTGTCCTCTCCTGGGTAGTAAAATTGGGATACTTGGCTCATGGTTCACTTTTATATGATACTTTAGGATATCAGACTGTAACATTCTTGGCAGTAATCCATTATATGGAACAACTTTCTCACCGAAATCTTCAGATGAGATATTAAAGAATCTTATATGAGGTATACAATCAGATATAATGTTTTTAACTGTGTTAAAATCATTATCTAACCAGTCAGTCGGATCATCTGTTAGATCAGGAACTTGTTTGATTGCCCATTGTATGACTGATATCCAAATATCAACTTCATTCATACTAAGATCATCATTTTGAAGAAGAGTAATTAAAGTTTCCTTTGGTACATTCACAATATCATTGGATTTAAAGACAATCTCTGGAGACAAGGTCATCATTTGATTGCAATAAGCAAGAAGCTTGTGCAATGCATTCTCAGATGAAGCAATAACATGAACGGAAATAATGTTTTTCTCTATCCAATGCTGTTGACGATTTACCAAGTAGTCTCCAATTGCAGTAATAAAGTCATTCAGCAGAAACTTTCTGGCACCTTCCAAAAGGCTAAACCAACTCAAGTTCTCGCACGAGTTTGCATTGACTTTACCGGTATAAATAAATCTTTATAATCAAAAAGAAACATCTATAGTTGGTTGTAGAGTAATATTGTTATAATTCCAATTTGAATATTACCTGAGCAAAATTTCAAATACATCAGGTGTCACATCTTCAAACGCCAAGGCCGTCTTTTGAATCTCATTAGAAACTTCTGTATCTCCGGTCAATCTATTCTCAAAATATGTGCTTCTTGCACATAATACTGCTGCGTGAGCAAAAAAGATTTTGTTGTTTGGTTCCTTTCCGACATGAAGCGAAACGTCTGTGTATCTTCGACTCTCATAAAGCTTCTCCAAATCGGACAAAACACCCGTAGACAAATCAACGATGTCACTCATGTTGAGATGGTAACTTAGAAAATGCTAATCGTATGGGCTCTCAAGTCCGACAGTGTAACATTAGTATTGTTGATCACACCAAATTTAAATCCAACTTTATCGTTATCGATATGCATAAATTACTATTCGGTAAGAATGTCTGCTTGAAAGATTGAGCATAGATTGTTCATATGACTCTGAAGCGGTTGCTGCTATTATATTTATATAATTCGAATATAAAGACAGCGCTTATATTTCCAACTACAGCAACATCTTCAATCGTGTGCCAACAATTTGTTTATATCAAATGTTATTTGTTTGTTTGTTTTTTATTTCGCGCCTGGGTTGGTTGATTTTTCTATTTTTAATTGCTTTTGTCAGCGGCAGGCAGCAACAACAATTGTCAATATTATGTTATACGTCTACTTTATCCCCAAAGACCAGAAGTCAACGCTTTTGCGGAAACAGTGTTCCAGTTGAAAAGTTTGGTTCGTTGTTGCAGAGCATGGCTATTACTATGTACATACATTTACCGTTAGCGGTAATACCTGTCGTTTCGCAAATAATATTGTGAGCTTGCATCAGCCAGGTGATACTACGTTACAATAAGTTAACTGGTTCTTATTGGCGCAAAACATTATGAAACACGTATTGTAATCGACTTATTAATGCTTAGTAAAAAATTTGATATTGTGCTATCGTAAATTTATAATAAAGACTTGTTTTTGTGTGTGTGATTGGGAAATAACATATGTCAAGCTTTTGAAGATTATTAATTTATTTTCTTATTATTATACAAGCGTTACTAAACGAAACTAAAACTTTAACGTTTGACAAACTGTTGTACATATTTGTGGGTTTACCTTTACCTCTGTAATTAGATCAACCCCAAAGTGCGCTTATTTTACAGACTAGATTACTTACATGTAGTTGATTTTTTGAAAAATACAATCAAAATAAACAGTTTTATATAATACATTCCGTAATGACAAAAACCATAAATACTGAATGCATACGCAAACGAATCATTGCTTTCCTTAGAACCACTATAGATTTGAGCAAGAAATATTGCATCAAGCAGTATGCCAATAATAATATGTCCGAGTATGCAAGAAAGAGCGCGTGACATAGACCACGAAGGGGGCATGCGATTGAATGAAGTCAATGCAAGATATTCCAATCCACCTAGTAGAAATCATAAATTAGAACCCAAGTTGCTATACACAATAACCTGTGACTATACGTCTGCCGAATTATTACTTACCAATAAATGTTGCTATGCGATCAACAAAGCTTTCTAAACATATGCGTTTATTATTGAACCATATGATTAGATAAAAAGTCCGAAAGGTTATTTCAAAAACAAATATAGACGTAAAGCAATAATACGGATAGCCAACAGGTATATGCTATACAAACGAAAGGGATGTTAGCAAAAATACGTTACTATTACAACACTCGATATTAGTTTAAATACTTGCAAAGGTGTTGTATTTAATGCAGCCAATTATTGTAGAAATCAGGTATCCTGAATTGACCATGATTGCCAAAGCACAGAAGGATATTACGACGTTATTAGAAACAAAATTTGATTTTTTAAAAATTGTATGTTCGTCTGCTATACGGGGTTCATTTATCGTTGATGAATCTGAGGAGATTTTAGTTTTCTCTATTATGTCTGAGACCGGTTCTATGTACTTTGATTGTTCATTTGATCCAGAAATGTCCTCAGTTATTCCGGCTTCTATGTCTATCTCTGTGATATTGCTCATGATTAACAGTAGTATGATATCGAAAGAAGATTCTATTTATTTATACGGCTCGGATCAGAGATAACAGTTACGACATGATCAACCGCCAAGTGCCGTGTCAGCTTAAAGAGTAGATTTCATTTGCTCGATTGTTTATATGCTTACTGCAGTGTAAGTGATTTCCATCAGCTATTCGTAACAAACGTTCTACGTTACATGCAGAGATCAAGATGCAATGTAATGCGTTGACGTAACCAATGATAATATTAGATGAATCAATGATACAGAAACTCCCCTTTGCCAAACCCGTTTGCTTGCTTGGCCTGGGAAATACAAGCTGGCTGCGAAAACAATACGGAAGAGACGGTTTTCAGTTTAAGCGTAGAATTCAATTGTAATTTGTAATTCAATTCTACAATTGCATGCACAAGTATATATAAATAGTACGCTTATAAATAGCGCAAGGGTTATTATTATTCCGAGTGTTTGTTTAAAATATTTACTGTTGATATGCAAACAAACCGTACTTTGAACCACAAAGTCGACTACAAGCAGTTTGACCAGTGCTACCTATGTAGCATATTTGGTTGGACAAAGTCAAAGCGTAGCATCACAATTGTTTTGTTATTGTAAGTTATTTGCCCTCCAATGTTGCACGAGTAGCCTTTTGCATATTTAATTTAAGCAACGATCGACGTTGTCCCCTCAATTAGGGGGACCACAACGTAATTCGATGGATAATGCTCGGGCTTTACACTATTTTCCCGAAAAGTATAAATTGCGGTTTAAAGTGTCACATCTTTATAGTCTGATCATCCAATGTGTTACTGAACCACAAGATAGACAGTGTGCGTGATGTAACATTATTATTATGTTATCAGTTATGGTAAAACTAACGGTTACATGCATCCGTAAAAATAGCTATCTATATCGTTAACAGAATTTATTGACATGTGATAAGCTTATTTGCGGTATGTAATCGAAATAGACGAGAAATTAGTTTATTTCATTAGCTTTGGTATTGGGACTTTGTATTGGTACGATTATCCGCTTGTCGAGTTTGTGCTCATTTTCCTTTATTTGCGAGTTTGGGAGTAATTTTCGTATGATGAGCGGTTAGGGTTATAGTGTAGCTTGAAAATTCAGGTTTCTGACATACTTGTTGCAATGTACATTGTTCTAACAAATGTGCTTCTTTACGTTGTATGTATTGAGCTTAATTAAGATAAGCTATTAGCACATAAATATATTGTGAGAGAAAATTTGGACACAACGATCACTTACTAATAAATATATATTACAGTCTTCTCCATTGCGAGGCGAGGTAACGCTCACGTACCCAGTAAGCGTGTACTTCGAATGACGGCAAACGGAGCTTGTCACTTAACGTTAGAATAGCCAAGCTTCTGTTGTTAATTGTAATTGGCTAAACAGAAAATGTAATAGTGGAATAATTAATTAGAAGAGTCTATTGCATACCCTTTGCATATTCTCACGTTTCTGAGCAAATGACGGGGTTTGAGACTGTATATATACAATGCGACCTTTAATACAATACCAAGTCAATGTATTACGGTTTACAAGAATAATGGTATCAGAATAGATTTGTGCGTCAACAGTTTTCCGTTTTGACCGAATTGCTGCATGCACTAGAAATCATAAACATTCGATAATTATATTGTCGGACCGCAGAATTGTATGCATTTTACGATGAATAGCAAACAATCAATTGGATTTCTTTGTCTCTTGTGAGGGTACTTATGCTTTTCATAACAACAAGCTGTACAATTATTAGTCACAGATAAGAAAATGGTTTGCACGATAGAGTTTGTATTGTTAAAATAGATGAGCTATCAAGAAGAATAGGCGAATATTGGGTAAAAGCAAATGATCTAAACTGTGTTTAAACAAAGAAAGCGTTTTCTGTCTTCCTAATTTTGACTTGTATTATTATGCATAACGCTTTTTTAGGAATACAGTTCAAGAAAGTGCTATTGTATCTTACGCAATCGTTGTCTAATCGACTTACAATATGGCAAATACCCTTTTCGTAATCGCTATCTTCTTTGCGTTTGATGGTCTATTTGCGCTCGACGTTATAATTGAGTCTATATAGTAAGAAGAACCAAACAGTATCCTACGCTTGTAGGTTCAGCCTGCAACTGATTCCGCAGGTAATCTCATACAGACCCACTACACGTAGGCTTTAAGAAATAGTCCGAATGCTACAGTAATGTAGTAAGAGCTCTGGTTGCTGCGGGATATTCACAATTGATTTGTTACAAAGATTGTGTTTGTAAAGGCACTTGGAGATTAGCATCCTACGCCCATTGATCTGGCCCTTTGGTCGATGTTTGGATTAGTGGAGATGATTATATAACTCACCACCCGTGGCCTCTCAGGTCTGCTCCGAGTTTTGTCGACCAGTGTCTCTATACAGTTATCAGGGGATGGTCCTACAATAATCAAATTACTCATAGTAACAATGAATCAAATAAGCAACCACCGACGGAAATTTACTTGAAGAGATACGATTAACGTTTTATTCGTCCTTCTCTGAGTCTGGGCACTAACTTGGCGATAATATACACGTACATTCTATTGTGAGCCATTTACGTCAATAAGGACTGAGAAAAACGCTATAACAAAGAATGGATGTTGAAAATTATTTTATTTTTTGTCGGAAACTTTTCAAATAGATAATTAATATTAAGAACTCCATTCAGAATTTTCCCCGAAATTCGAGGTATCATAGTCCCGTTACTGTGTTTCTATATTACCTACTAGACTAAATTTGAAATTTTCAGGTGTGCGATAAAATTGCGCCTAGTGGATTATGATATAAATTTTATCCACGATTGAGGAGTGCTGTTATTGAAAAAACTGGTGATAAAATTTGATACATTGATACATTGATACATTGATATATTGATAAATTGATACATTGATACATTGATGCCTTGATAGTCTCTTTTCTATGTCGTTATAATACTAATCAATTTCCTACAAAGGACTCTCCAATTGTTACGTAAACGTAGTGCTTTATCAGACAACAGTTCACGCAAATATCAATATAACCTATCTCGTTTATAATGTTGAAGATGCAATATGGTTAAAAACGTATTTGTATATTACGTTGATCTAAATTCCTAATGGCAACAACTAGCAGAGAAAATGACTTGGAAATAAACACGGTGTTATCTTGTGCATGAACGTGCATGGTATAAAATTTGTTGAGGTAGTGTTTACCGCCATTACGTCTGACAAAAACAATCATTTGGAGAAATCATTAAAAGGTACGTTTACAGTTTCAGCATTTGCAAAACACGACTTTTAGCAACGATTCTATTTGGTATCAGGAGATCCACCAACTACTTCAAATTTACAGTACATGGTAAGTGTTGATAAGATATGGTGCTTTTTTTTTATCAGAATCGTTGATTGGTAATTCTGGACAGGCAGTGGATGTCATTCCTAAACATGTATTAGTCGATAAAATGTTAACAAAAATATAAATTGAAAATATTATCAAAATAGTAGTAGGTAAATGTTAGTTATTTGTATTATCATATATGTATGTCCAACCTTCAGTAAGTTATTCATGTTGCTTTCAAGTTCGGGTACCAATTGCTTCACCATCCAGGTCCAAAAGAAATTAAAATTACAAAACACAAATATATTTTTATGGTATCAACTATACTATATACGTGCGTATAGTAACTGTTCCATAAAAATGCTACTCGCATTTTCGTGCTTTGGATATAGGAATAGCTTTACATAACGCAGCAATAAATAAAGATCTATTTTATTATCTATAATCGTGACATGGATAAACTCGGTTCACATTCTATGTAAATTTACTATATTCATATTTAATAGTATAATAAACACTTTGCAACTTGTACATCAAAATTAAAACGTATACGAGTAAAAGTACATTTCTTTTTTGTGTTTATGATAATGTTAATGTTAAAACACCTTACTGTAATTCTATCCTGGTTACTGGAAACTTTCGTAAAGAGGCATGTCAAAGGCTTTTGCATCACCGCCACATCTGATAACTCTGCCTTTTATGTCACAACTAGACAAATTTTAATATCAAACTATTTGGTCGAGAGAGGGTTACTGTTTCATATTACCAATATCTACACTTAATTCGCAGCTGCTCAATAGTCGAAAAAACTCGAATATGTTTTACTCTACCTTAATATCTACCAGTAACTCTTACATGATAAAAATAAGGGAATCTGAGTAAAATGTAACAGAATGCACAACTGCAACAATAAACAAGAACTCTTGCATAGAATACATAATGGCAGAAACCATATACAGCAAGCCCATAGGCCAATGCATCACCTCTCTCTTTTGCTGCAATTAGAATATGAGTGAGCTGCACTGGGTTAAAAAATATAGAAGCAGCACAATGTATACCACACCAAAGATAAAATACTAGAAATGTCATAAGGTGATACTTCTCGCTGTTGTCATCATTATAATGTTTCTGGATACACAGTATTACGTATTCAAACCCGCCTAATATATAATAATAGAAAATAAATTCATGAAGCGTACGCTTAGCTGATTACATGTAATAATATTCAACTTACCAAAAAAGAATCCAAAGTCGTCAACGATTGTATCGAGAGATATCCGACCACTTACAAGCCATATTAACATGGTTGGTATTCTAAAGCACGTTTCGAAAATACATATTGATGTAAATTTGTAATATGGATGTTCGTGGGGAATATGCTACATAAAAAGAGGTCTGATAAGTATTAAAGATAGTAACGTATTAATATATTGTACATAGTGGCTACTTACAAATGTGTCATAATGAATACAGCCAACAACTACAGTGATGAAGTATATAGTATTGAGACAGCACATTAAAGCAAAAGGTAGACAATATGGAATAGGACAACAATATCTTTCTTGCACTTGAGGCCGACCACTATTATTGTGCTGCTGACTGCTGCTTTGTGCTGTTAAGAGAGGCTGTTGTTCATCAACAATAATAGTAGTTTCATTTGAAAATGTTCTATCTTCCATGGTTTGCTTTGCAGCATCTGATGCAATTGCTATATCGCTAGACTGTTCATTAGGCATAAAGCATTCATTAATAGAAGGTGGTTTCAAAGATGCTCCAGGCCCTATGTCTACGTCATTGACTGTATGTTCCGACATCCGATATCGCTGAAACAAGAATGCACTTCATATTCCTGCCTAGCCATTAACCAATTTAAATTGGGCTGTAAGATGTCAGTTACGCAAGTGTACTTTTTACCAATTGGGTGGCGAGATTTAGAATAAATTGGGTTGACCACTTAGTATTGTTTGTACGTCAGATCGGAATAATACTTCGACATTAATAATATTAATGGGGCAATGTAATTTATAGTCAAGATAAAACCGCTTAGTTTCTATTGTAACTCTATTTAGACTGTTCAAGCTTGTGCGCTGATCTTGATGTAAAGTAAGCCATATTGTAAAAAATTGCAATAATTTTATTTGGCTTTGTCCGGTTTAACAGCATAATTACTGTTGTTTATTACTGTTGTTTGATCAAATTTCAACAACAACAATAATTAACGATATTACTCAGTGCGGGTCCAACTTACGATTACTTTGATAAAATTTGTAAGTTTATAGTAGCAACCGCTTAATTTATTTAATAAAATGTACGTTCTAGTGACAATTTAACAATAGATGAGTTAAGCAAACATCCGATAATGCTTTGTTAAATTTTTGCTAATTGACTTGTGGAATGTCGTGCTACGCGCAAGTAAATGAACATATAATTATTAAGCGATGACTGAAATTACCTTCAGTTCAACGAATCAATCTCGTTGAATCGCGATGGTTTTTTAATAATTACTATCAAGTTTTAAGAAGTATACAGCAGTCTGTGTTGTACCTATTTGCTTGCTTGCATGGTTGATATTTCATTACTGGCAAGTTTGTGACAAAACATATAATGCACTTATAAGTGTTCTAACATTATTGGAGCATACGTAATGCCTCGGCTACAACCAATATACGGCCTGTTTGGGAGTCGGTAATTTCACGAAATTCTCAAATAGTGTTTGGTTAATATTGCATATAGCATTATACAAACACTTGATTAGATACTACAGTTTTGTATATATACGTGTATTATTTATTACATACGTTTTGACTAAATTAGCATAATGTCGAATGCTACGTAATAAATTTACGTCTCGCTTGAATCAGCAATTAGTTTGGCCTTGACACATTCACCAAAAATTAATTCAGCATGCAATCACTTGGCGCAAGTTAGGGAGGCAATCATTTCATCGACAATCATTTCACCGACAAATATTTACCAACATTATTTCGAATTTATCCTTTTTTA